ATGCCTCCCTGTCGTAGATACTCTCTTTTTGAATTGGGTGCTCATCAACTTCCAAGTATTCGCCAGACCAGCCGAGGCTTCAACATCATCAGCCCTGATTCTCGGTCGGATTGACCTCAAATTTCGTTCCCGCCGCACCATGGCATCGGTGATCGTGACAGGACAATCACCAACAGGCCAAGCACATTGTTTACACAAAGGGCAAAGGGAGCTGTTGTTTCTTAAGAATGTATCGATACACTCAGGGTGATAGATATGACCACAAGGCAACTCTCGTATTTCGGTCTCTCCACAAATAAAGTCGTCGAGGCAAATGGGACAAGTTGGTTGCGCATACGGCAGAAATCTGTGGATGAGAAATGTGTTTGGGGGTTTGCCCTCCACATTGATCAGCTCTCCTAGCAATCCAGAATTCGAATCGACATAACCCGATGAAGCTCGGGTGACCTGAGAACCGTAACTACTGGACTTGTCCTCCTCAATAGTGATATCACTATCGTCCTTGACATCCGTGGGAGTTGCAGACTGTGAATCTTGACCCTCGTCGCTATATATGAATAAAGGAAGCTTTGCGATTGACTCTCTTGGTACTATAAGGCGCTTAATTCCAAGAGCTTCTAGATTAACTTCTCTCCTCTCGACACGACGCCTCAAAGAGTTTCGTCGGTGTCGTTGAGTTAGATGCATACCGGCGGAGATCAGTCCCAAAATCCCTATCAAGACCGCCATGATCACCAAGATAAATGCCCAGAACTGAGGTAAAGTGGGTGAGTCTGATGATTCGATTTCAGTATACAATCGCACGTAGTCCCGCGGATCATACCCAGGTATCGCAGATACCTCATGGCCATGGGGAACATTGGTCATATTGCCAGAATACAGACTAAGTTGCTGCATCAACTCTTGGCCAGCATTTCCAGGGATGGCGTAAACAGGATACTGGTTATGATCTTTCCACGCACCGCCATCATTCAAATCCCACACCGAGGAAGTGGCCGGGGGTGGCTGAGCAGTGTCATTATTAGGCAGGTAGAAGATGAACCCCTTATTTGGGTCCGAACGAGCAGAAGCTAGGAAAGACTTGGTGCAGTCCACGTTTATCCAAGGTGCAATTGCTATCAGGGTAAAGTCTGTTGGAGGCAGATTGGCTTGTCGAGTGACATTCTGTGGAATATATTCTCTCGCGATGTTGAAGCATGGGTCGGCAGTGTCCAGGTCCGGCACGTAAAGAAAGCCATTGGCTAGACCATCTCGATCGGTCAATCGATTTGAGAGGGTCTGTATGTTGTCTTGGAGGTCTTGGGTAAAGGAGATATTGGGCTAGACAAGTTAGCCTAGTCCTTCTATGGCTGTTTTAGCTAAAGGAGATGGAACGGCACGATCGTTGTTCTTTTCAACAAGCCCAAAGATCGGGTATTGTAGGAAAATGCTAGGAGAATTGAAAGCTCTCGTGCTCGATTCTCCTAGATCTTTCCGTACAAGAGGTGATTCATTAGAGCGCTTCTGGCATATTAAGAGAGAGCTGATGTCTTCCAACATTATAAGATTGAAAGAGCGGTGGCATACCGATAGTTGGGCAACGACATGGTCAAGATCACGATGTGTTGATGTATCAGTCCAGTCTTGATTTGGAAACAACAGACTGTAAGATGGTTAGCAGAAATCCCATATTTCTCCATCAACAACACCATTGTATTTCGTCTACAGGTCTGTCTCGCCCTACCGGGAATTGCGGGACCTGGGAGACTTGGCATAATCCGATGAGTTTTTAGAGGATGGCGACGGTAAGGTAGACGAGAAGGACGCCACTTACACGTAGGTTTGTATTTCATTCGCAGCTGGAACCAGAGCGTTAGCAAACCATGCATTGTATACAGTTTAGGACCAAGGACCCCTCGATATCACGATGTCGAAATAGAGGCGCGATGAGCAAGCCAAGGGGCCAAGGATGCCAATTCTCGCCAAGGGAACTAACCCATTTCTTTCAAGGAACGACGCAAGCATCAATATCAGGGACTGTCTCCCTCACTGCTATTCACGCGCATATGGGACGGGATCAAGTCTTGTATCGCCAGATGTGGGACAAGAGGGTGTCGGACGGAGAATTGGTGAAGCTGTCGCTGGTGAGCGGAAATCAGGCTGTGATGAAAATGAGTGAGGAAGAGGCCGAAGAAGAGTGCCAATTGAATCGGCATCGGGCCAGGGGACAGCACTTTTAAGGGAGGCTTACCGTAGCCAGCGATCGTCTGGCTGGCTGACTGACTGGCTGGCTGTCTGGCAGGGTTGGTGAAAAAGCTTGTTCCCCCGCCTGAGCCGTCAACCACACGCCCACACGCGCAATCGATGCTGCATGGAGACCCCAGAAAAGCTTGACTTCCAATCTGGCCCCGTTGGGAGAGGTACGAAGCCTCTACTCCCGATGGCCCAATCCCCGACAAGGACGTGGTATGGCTCCTGGCCATACAGAAGCGTGGCCGATGTGAGGGTAAGGGTTCTGCGTCGTGACGGTGAAGCTAACCGTTGCGAATGACAGGTGCAGATTAATTAGAAGAGAGTAGGATCAAAACATTGTTCCTGAATCACGCCTCAACCAGCAGAAGTTGCAACGGGGTAGGCCTGCATTTTAAGCCTATATAACGCCATACGCCATGGGCGGCGAGACAAATTATTCAAGTAATGCCTCGTTTGGAGTACGATCATTATGTCCGGACCCTGTGATTTCAACGGTACTGGTGCGACTGGCACTGTTTGTCGACTGTTGGTCCGACGACGATCTAGGTTTCGAGTCTCGAGTCGTGCTCACGAAAAAAAACCCCGCTCTCTCCATATGCCGACTCTCCGCCGATTTGGGAAAAAAATCCCCTCGTAATTTCGTAAAGAGCAGGTGGAAGTCTATCGGCCTTTTGACTTTGCCTCCGGGAAAGCTTCTCTAGGACAAGAGTCACGGCCCAGCACCGCAAATTCCGAACGCTCTCAGCCTATCGCCATGTAAATACGAGTAAGGCGACAGTTGAGCAACGAACTGGCGAATAGGGAGAGAGGGACAGAAGATGCCAACGGGAATTTGCATGACTAAGAACAAATATGATGAGGAGTATTAGGCATGATATTGCTGCTTTATTTTCGTCTTTCCGTACAGTATCTTACATCACGACTTGTGAGAGTTATTTTGAGCATCACGTGTACGACATACGTACTGGATCGTTCGAGAAAACTGCTTCAACCCCTGCTGAAACGAACCGTCCGATATCCATCCCTCGTCAACAAACTTTGAACGAACACATCACGAGATGACAGTGGCAAACGGAGCCCCAAGCGTGGGCGTGTGGCATCGGAAAATGGAAGACAACTTGAACTCCGGGCGTTTGGCGAGAAGTTAGTCTGGAGTCAGCTTTCTTTGGATGAACGGAAATGACACTACCTATTGCAGATTGCTCACGTGGCAGCTAGGTTCGACCAAGTGGCCTACAATTGTTTCGAAGTAATTGGCTTTCCATTTTTATGCTGCTATTGTTTGGTGTCGTGGTTTGATTCGACGCCCTACGGATCTCAAAGCAATCAAAATGTGCCTTCCATATCCCCGTCTCCTTCGGTAGTTGAAGGGTAATGACTTTGTAGGGCTGTCTTATATTCCAGCGACAGCGAAAATCCTGGAGTAAGGCAGCGGAGTTTTTGTGACGTACTGTACTATTATCCCTTACTGCGTGACATTAGTAGGTTGGGTTAACGCTTTTCGCTAATCCGCGCCAATCAGGCTGGTAGGACCTCTACTGAAAAACTTCCACCACTTCGAAGCAACAAAAAGTTACAGTACTTCGAGAGTACGCAGAGCGCTCTTGAAATCTACCTCCTACCTGGAAACATCCTCACCTTGAGATTCCCGATCACACTGGTTCTCCGTGAATCAAACTTCCATCATGAACTTAATATTTTCGGCGTTTCTTTTCAGACCGGTGACGATTTTCGTATTTGGTTTTCTTTCTTTCTCATTCCGAATTTAGGCCGAGTGTTTGTTTCGCCGTTCCGGTACTCGAGTAATTACCAAGTAGAAGTTGTACCTGAAGTGGTACGCACTAGTTCGTATTCATCGCGAAGATCGAATTCTAGCGAGTAATGTACAGTAGATCGGGGGAGTGAGCTGATTAAGAGGCTTATGTCTAAAATATCACAGCAGTGCAAGCTGGATGGAAAGACTTCGTAGTCTGAAAGGTGGAATGGATGAGTAATGACGGTAGCAGGTTCAGTGTGTGTGTCACCACTGTGTAGGCGTGATATTACTATATTAGCGACAACGGAATAGAACGATTGATTACGATTTCCTGAGAGTATCAAACCGTAGGTAGTCCTGAGGTTTTCTGCTATAAAAGGAGGGATATATACGCGGAATCAAACCTTTGTTGTCCAAGATCACCGCCATAAGGTCCGTTAAAGTGGCCACAATTCGGATCGATGGTTAACCAATTGTTAGCCACCAAGAAATTCTCGTATAATAACTGAACATATTTCATTTAGGTAACTTCTCATATGTACAAATGGAATTGAGAGGTGTAAAGAACTCGTGACATGTTCTCTAGAGTTAGGAATTTTAGACTCCGGGGAATCCTAGTAAAATAATCCACTATAATACCCAGGCTCCCGGTGAACAAGAAAACTGGCAGACCTCTTTTATCTTATCTTGATTTTCCTAAACCCCATAATAATATATAATTTATTTGGAATAACTATAATAATTTATCGAAAACGGTAGTACAATGAAGGCTACCTACCTATACCTATTGTTCTAGATATTCTATCTATTTTAGTGTTAAGAATTAACTTACGCGAAGAGTTGAAAAATGAATATCTGCCACTTTTTCTTGTCTACCGGGAGCTAGGTGGTCTACAGATGGTCCCCATAGGCCCAGCCAAGAGCCTTGAGTAATCAAATGTCTCTGAGGTAGGGACTTGAAGGGTGGGGAGGAATTTTAAGCGAGGCTAGCGAATTCTCTACCAATTATGGCCTAGTCGTGCCTTGGCTTAACATTATCTCCTTTGACTTGGACGGCATGGGTGAAAACATTAACACAAGCCATCGACAATCTAACCTTGCTGAATTCAACAAGGGTTTCCTTTTCTGCTTGCTCCGTCGCCTCGTCCCGAGTTCCTTCATGGTAGATCAGGTTCAAATCCACCGCTTGTCCAAAAACCGGCTTTAACAAATTTGGCATTAGCTTCTTATTCATTGATTTAAGGAAGAACGAGCGCATTTTCTATCTATCCTGCTCAGCCGCGAGTTTTAGGAACTCTTTGTGGTTGGTTTCATTTATTAACAGACTATGATAGTTTAGCGCTGACTACAAGGAAAGCTGAAAAGTGACTTACACCACTTAGACAAGAATGTAATCCTTTAAAAAGGTATTACGGGCTGAGTTGACAGTGGCTTTAAGGAGGCCGTCGGCATACTTCTCGTCGACCAGGTGAGAACCTTGTAGGCTCTTGGTCGTAGCGGGAAGAAATGCCTTATATTGAGCTTGTGTAAGAAACCTGGTCATTACTCTGTAAACGCTATCAAAAGTTATTATACTAAAAGTCTAGCACAAGCAAATCGATTGTCCTATTTTACCTAGTATAATAAGAATTGAAAAGTAACAATTGTTCTAAACTATTCGTATAATTGATTTAATTGTGTGAGGTCTAGGATAATATTTTTATAACTCAGGCGTGTACAGAGAAATGCCCGTCTCTCTTACATGCTATCAAAAGTTACTATCCCAGAAGTCTAGTACAACTTAATTAATTGTCCTATTTTATCTAGATTAATAAGGAGTCAAAAGCATCAATTATTCTAAACTATTCGTACAATTGATTTAATTGTGTGAGGTCTTTAGGATAATATTTTTATAACTCAGGTGTGGTGTACAGAGTAATGCCCGCCTCTCTTAACAGTTCCATCGAAGAACAAATGAGTTTTACACAAAGACTTGTATAACTCGGCGATTACGTATCGGTCACCATGTAGCACAACACGGTTATAGAGTGTCTCTTTACTAGTATGTTCTAGGTCTGAAGCTACTATATCTTCCAATTCGTTCGTGTGGAAAGATAGGGGAACTCATGTTGGGACTTTGTCCTTCGCAGTGGGTGGATGGAACTTGGAACAGGGGAGTGGTTATATGTACTATTAAGCAAATTCCGAGCGTCCTTCAGGACAAGCTAGTGCAATAGCAATACAAGCATCATTCCAATTCACATATTCTCTTCGCAGTCTGAAAAAGCAAGTTTTTAGAATTAAGTATATCTGGTTGCAGGGTCTTACGGTTCCGTCCAAGTAAGCGATCGACCCGTCTAGGTTAGCCCACTTAGTGTCGCCTTCTCGATCTCGGCCTTCCAGAAAGCAATCGTCTTGTCTAATTCGGCTTACGATGTAAGGAAAATGGTAGGGTTGGCTGTGGGTGATGGCATGGTGACGATTCTGCGCAATGTTTCCATCGAGATCGTTGTTGTGTGTTTGCGACACAGATTTCAAAAGATTTGAAAGTCAGGAGGTTTAGAGGTGGACAGAGGTGAGGAAGGGTCAGGCTCAGAACTTCACTTTCAAAGAGCATCAAAAAGGTGAATCGCCAAGAAGTCAAGCGAGTAACTTCATCTTCAGATGCCCAGACATCCAACTTTCAACGTAAATATTTGGTGACTGGGTAACTCTCGCTGTAGGCAAGTGAGGTCACAACTTCGTCTTCAGATGCCTAGATATCCAATTCTTAACTCAGACTTTTGGTAACTGGTTAACGCCACTCTGTTGTATTCTAGTATAAGGTTATAACCTTATCTTTCAAATGCCCATATATCCAATTCTCAACTCACACATTTGGTAACTGGGCAGTTATCTATTATCTATATATAGAGAGATAGGATTATACACTCCTAAGCGAGAAAAAAGGTACATATTTTGGTCGCTTTGCATAAAAGGAAAACAATGGGTTCCTTTGTTTACCTACATAAGACATATAGGAACACCAAAAGTGCGATCTAACTCGCAAGGCCGCATCGAGCCCCAAACGTTTCTAAAACTTATATAGATTATTTGTATATAATCTAAGTCAATTCTCTATAATTCTACTTTCTCGGATTATTTGTACGATTAGTATTGCGATAGTTGTATAATTTAGAAGTTACTCGAGTATCGCTCTCTGATTACCACCTTTGAAGTACGACTAAGTGCCTTGCATCCCAGGCACTTACGCAGGAACACCAAAACCATAGGAACACCAAAACCGAGAGTAGTAGCGCCCGCATTCAGCTAGAATCGCATTCAAAAGACACATCAATCAGACATATATATTCTAAGCATTCCAGCTATATTCCCGTGTTCTCACGATGCCATTACGATATTGTAGCTAGCAGGGTGTGGGCTAGAGGCTGGACGAGTGCGACCGTGGATTTTGGTGGGGCCATTGGCCCAAACTAAAGGTTGGAGGCTTGGCATGTTCATCAGGCACGTCAGTTTGGACAGCAGGTCTATGTCCCATATAAAACACCAGCATCCAAAGCTCCCCCGCCATGCCTCCCCCTCCCAGCCAGAAAGGCACCGGAAAGAAAGGGCGTGATGCTCGCCAGAGTCGGAGCCGTAACTCGACTCCCAACCTCACCGGCGCATCCAGCTCGGTGCCACCAGCTGAATCGGGGGAAACGGCTCTCCTGGAGCTCTCCCGAGCTTCATTCTTTACCTCGGATAATGTGGCAGATGTCTCGTCGGCAATTCCAAGCTCGAAAGATTTGGAGGCCCTGGCAGAAAAGTTACAGAAATTGGTAGCCGCGATTGAACTTCGAGGGGCAACCTGCGATCGGGGCATGAGAATGCTGGCCAAGTTGAGAAAAGAAAGACTAGAGGAGATTGAGAGTGACCGGCGAGACGAAGAACACAAGGAACGACTCAAGAGAGACGCCGCAGATGAAGAGGAGCGAGGCAGACATAAAACCAACAAACTCAAAAAGAGAAAGGATATCAGCACGAGTAGGGAAGAGCGACCCTTGACCCACGGAGCACACACATTGGCACCCCAAGATGGCTCCAACTTGGGTAAGTCTTGCTCCAGCATCACTATACTTATATTCACTTATGTATATATTGGTGTATATATACTTCACGACCTCGTGGGCACGGAAATGCTGACTTTGACATCCTCAGAAGCGTCGTCGCCTCTGCCGAGAGTGCGCAAGGCCTCTCGCCGATTATCGCGCGACAACGATTCGGCGAGTTCTTCGCTTTCACCCGTTGCGCCGACCCCCGCAGCGACTGGTATGGACTTGGATGAGAAGGAGGATGTGATTGACGACGACTCAAGTTCAGACGAACACCAGCCTCCGCCTGCCCCGACCATGCCCCATATGCAAACTTTTGGCGACGACCCCTCCACATTTCCCGATCCCACCGTCTACGAAATCCGCCCCATCACAAAAGACATGGACGAAGCAACGAAGAAAGAGATCTTCTCCGTCACAACATATCCTCCTTCGAATCTCGAGGATCTCATCGCAGGCGATCCCCCCGATAAAGATTTCAGCAATGCGAAGCCTACAAACCAGGTCCAGGCAAATACGTTTGCGACCTACCTCGACCCATTTTTCCGACCATATACCGAGGAAGATTTGGCTTTCCTTCGAGAACGAGGCGACAAGGCTACATCTCAGAGTATGCCAAATGTCGGCTCGATGCACTATACAGAAAGATGGGCCAAGGAGGATAGCGGGATGATGGTCGATAGCCCTCAGCATGGACGCGACAAGCTACCGGGGAACCATGCGCGTGGTAATCTGGAGAATATGGATGATGCGATGGCAGAGACAGATGCCGTCTCGGCAGGTCCAATCTTGTCGCGACTATTGGCTACATTGAGACCTGAACACAGAGCAGCGGCGTCTGAAGAGAGACCTACCGCAAATGCCTTTACAAACGGCGAAGCCAATATCAATGGCGAGCCTAATGGTGATCTCGGAGATTCTGTCCAAGCAAATGGAGACGCGCCCGCGCCACTGCCAGCCGCCACATATATGACGGAGTCATCTTCGGAATCATGGAAAAAGGCCACTCACCACAAGCTTGATTACTCACAAGTAGACGAGCGTATCAAGCAGGAACTTCGACATATTGGGCTACTCTCCCCCGAAGATGACCCCAACTTTGACGATCAATATGACGACGAGATCGCTGTGCGGCTTCGCTCGTTACAAGCTGAGTTGAGACAGCAGCAAGTCGAAAATGGCGCTCGCAAAGCCCGACTGCAGGAACTCGTGAAAGAAAGGATGGCACATCAAGAATACACAACCATTCTTGAAGACCTCGATGCCCAAGTCCAACAGAATTACCTTAAACGAACACGCACAATTGGCAAGAACAAGAAGACCAAAAGACCTGGTGGGGCTGGTGGTGGAAGTCATTTTGTTGGAGGGGTCGCAAACGGAATGGCCAGACCGGGCATTGGTGATGCAGCCAAGACCATTATGGAGAGAAGGAAGAAGTGGATTGAGGGCGTGGGATCGGTCTTTGATGATGAGAGAAGTACGGTGAAGGTTCCTAGGGCTTCCAATGCTGGCAGCTCCATTTTCAAACCAGAGGACATGGCGGAGTTTATCAAGAAGGAACGGGAGAATTGGGAGGAGTATCCTGAAGAGGAGTAAATATGCACGTGTGTGTGAATGGGATGGGACGAGATGAGTCTGAATGTTAGCGTTTCCTCTGGGAGTTTCTTACCTACGTGGATGTAGGAATAGGCGAAAGCGGAGTCTTCTTCCTTCAGGCAAGGGATCAAGGCATGGTGTTATGGATTGGTAGATAGATGGGTATCTGCTTTGCTTTGCTTTACTCTGCTTGGTCAGAGCGTTGGTTATGAAGAAATGATATTCACCTCCGTTATATTTGTTGGCTTTGGTGGCGCGGGACTTTTTAGGAACCTCGTATGGTGAAGTGTGTGAGTGTGTGTGTGATTTGTAAGGTATTCACTCATTCACTCACTCCCTTTACTGCTGCTGGAGCTAGCTGGATTCCTCTCTGCGAGAGCGGGGACTGAAATTTGAGTTTGCATCTGAAATTACTTTTGCATTTTTTGTTGGGGGTGTAGTGTGTTATTTGTTGTGTTGCTGGAGACTAATTGGCTATATTTCTGTTCTCAGTACATTTACTCACCATACCTAGAGTACAACGAGTACCAGAACTATAACCAGACGCAGAAGCTGAATATTTCTTGGCCGTGGAACATCTTATCGGACGTTCGATAAATTCGGGATCATTCGAATTCCAATGGAACCCTCGTTGTTCTTTTACTATTCTTAATTTTGGGGATTTTACAAAAAGGGGATTTTGAGATTTTGGGATTTGGGAATGAACTTTTATTCGAAGAATGAAGAGGTGTCTAGGTGGACTTAGGGCGCTTGTTGGTATTTTGTGATTTGGATGCTTGTGGGGAAGAGAGGGGTTGGGAATTGGTTAGGGTTGTAGGGGATGGGGGTATTGGGGGTATTGAGGTGTAAGCGATTGAGGTGGGTGTGAAGTTTATCATTTTCATATTTTTATCTCATCTTATTTCTTTTCCTTCTTTCTTCCTTTTGCTTTTGTGATATGCTTTCTTTTTGAAGGTGTGATATGTTGAGAGAGTGGGTTGAGAGTGGATTTGAATGTGGATGTGGTGAGAAGGGATGGTGATGTTCTTGCGTTGATTAGTCGTTGGTAGGTGGGAGTGAGGAGTGGGGGTGTGGGGAAGTATGTACTGGACTGTATATTAGAGGGTTTTTGGGGATGCCTTGGGCCGGCTGGGGGGGAGAAAGAGGAGGGGGGTTGCTAGGGAAGTTGGTGGTTTGGGGGGTTTGGGAGGTTGGGGTGGGATTGGTTGTGGGAGTTGTGTTTGGGTTTGGGTTTGGTGATGGTTAGGCGAGATGGTTAGGTAGAGAAGGAGAAGGAGAAGGAGAAGGAGAAGGAGACTTATGGAAATCGAGGAAATGTTAGTATGTGAAGTTATCCGTGGATATGTTATCTCTGAACACCAGCAGCGTTGAAAGAAAGCTTGATTGAAGAGTTCTTTGTATTACACGTGGTCTGGGAGGAGAACTCCCCTTCCCCCTCCCCCCCAACAAAACCTCGCTTAGCAAATAAATCGATAGAGATAGATCCAAACACCACCACATCCCAATTTATCACGAAAAACAGGTACATTCCCTACCCACCAAACCCAGTCTAGGCAGTCATTATCTGTTCTTTCCCAAAGCGTAAATATCATGAAGCTGTTTCCTACGCTTCCCCCGTGATCGTTGACTTGATGAATATTTAATCGCAAGTTACTTGTGTCCACGATGCTGAGAAAGAAAAGATGTGTATTGAGATTTGGAAATGGTTTGGGAATATGAGCAAGGGATGGGAGATTATGGCGTGTGTCTCTGTTGAGTGGGGTGCTACTGAACTCTTTTGTTGGTTAGATATCTCTTTTTGGGGTGGGAAGGCGGGGGTTTAGTTGTTAAGCGAGGTAAGGGTTGTGTCGCAGGGACGGGAGTGGGAGGAGGCGTGTACAGTTGCGAGTCGGTGTCCTTGGAATTGGAATTTTGGGCACAAGTGTGAGGCGAAGTATTGGAAGTAAAATTTTCCGTTAGTAATCCAGTGGTTTCCAGTTCAATCTATGTTGTTGGGGGATTAGAATTCCCACTTCCTTAAAATTGCTGTTAGGAGAGCTCTACAATGTTCCTTGTTACCAAACCCAAAAGTACATTTTGCCTCTTATGATGATGTCAAGTGAGAGAAGTACAAGTGTGCAAGATTTTGACCCATTGTTTTGGAAACCTACGTGAATGGAAGGCGCGTAGGTATGGATGTGGTTTTTAATAAGAGTAAATCCCACATTCATCTTTAAGCTCACCATCAAATATGTATGTGGTTTCTGTGACATGGCGGTCCTTGAGACCATGGCCCCATGTAACAAGTTACTATATCCATATACGTCCTTCTAGCTTCTACTACTTTCCTGTATCCTTCAATTTCGGCCTTTCTCTAGATAGGCCACATTCATATCGCCTCCAAGTCTTTAGTCTGCTTCTCCTCCCCTTCTAGCAACGCCTTTCAAATGCCGCTTCGTCATGGCCCAATTGAACGCGAAAAGCAAGCCCAGCAACACAATAACAAGCGCCAGAACCAAAACAGGTATCAAAATACAAAACACGGCGAAGACAACACATGCTGTCTGAAAATGGGGACTTCCTTCCAACTGGGAAGTCGCAAGACCGAGTTGCATGGCAGTAAGAATTACAGTTACGTAGACGAAGATTATGATCATGGAGGAGAAGTTTTGGGCGAGGAAGGAGCTGTAGATTCGGTAGGAGTTTGAGTAGCCTCGAATCCTATCTTGAGTGAGGTAAGTATTCTCTTTTGTAGGTGGAAAGGAATGTGAGGATGAGACGAACCTGAAAGTGTGGCGCTGTTAGGACGTAATCTCCAGATCAGGTTTATACGATTTAGGCGTAGTTCGGACCAGTCGTAACGCCACCTCAACCAGGGATAGGGGAGTGAGGCACGTTTGAATGTTGAGTGGAAGGAGGATCGGATTTCCATCCAGGTTTCGAAGTCTAGTTCTTTAGGTACGAGGTTGTGTGATTGAGCGATTGAGAGGTCGGATTCCCATCGGATTAGCCATGTGTAGGAGTATAACAGACCCAAAGCTCCCATATATATCTCTGTAGAGTGTCATGTCAATATTTCATCCCATATATGTCAATGTCTCCTTGATGTAGAAGAAGCGAGAAGGAACTAACCAACACGATCCTTATCCCAATCTTTCTTCCCATCATCGCAAAGTTCATCTCGCCAAAACTCATAATTTAGTAAAAATCTCGGCAAGGGCTTTAAATATATCATTCCATTTCTCCATAACAAATGCAGATCCGCCTGCTCGTATATTACAAACTCGGACCCTGTTGCTTTCAAGCGATGCAATGGTGATTTATGGAGGGAAGAAGCTTGAGGTCGACCAGCGATCCAGAGGTGTTTGGTTATGCCGTTTAGGCGGGCGACGGAGAGATTGGAGATGGCATCTTCGCTTATTGGGATTGAACGTTGGCTGACTGAGGCAGAGAAGGGCGGCGTTGTAAATGGCGAATGAGTAAGTTTTTCGGATTCACTTGGCGAGGATTTAGATGGTGGCGTTGTTGTGTGTCCCGGTGCTGGATTCTGGAGCGAGGGGTTTGATGGCATTGTTGTCATCGCGTGGTCTAGGGTTGACACTAAACGTGTCTACAAGATACTGTTGACTATCATGTTACACCGGCGATGGAGTCAGAATCGAGAGCCTCATTTAGAATTAACTTGAATCGGGTTTTGACTCGTCAAGTGTGGAAGGCTTGTTGAATCGAGATGGTAAGAGATCGTATTCTGGCAAAATACTCTTCTAGAATCAAGGGAATTTAACAAGCCAAAGATCACCAAAAGAAAAGAGGCAGGCGGAAATAGTGTTGATCTCCAGGCTTCCGTAGGATGGAGGCTCAGGCGGATATGACTACCCAATGCAGTAGGGCTGACAATTCTACCCCACCTGAAGCCCACCCCTGTGAGGGAGCAATATTAGTACATAATTGCACCCATTATTCCCAAGCGACAGCGAATCCACGTTTGTGGAAAGTTTTCTATTATATCCCAGGAAGCAAAAGCGAACAGGATCAATAATTTAATGAGTGTTAGACAAGTGAAACTCTCCATTTCGGACGAAAAAATAGGGGGGAGGTTCGCTTATGTAAGACAGCAACGGAAACTTTTACAGCTGAAGTCCCCTGCAAGGCCTGGCATGTGAGACAACGATGATCCAGCCCCCAAATACCACGCGGATATGATAGGCTCTGAAAAGTATGTGAGACACACCCATAGGGTTAATCTAATTTAAATTCACAGTACTCTCTCACCTGCAGTAACCCGTCAGCAGTGGCATGTTAGAACTGGATGGTCCCTTCATTTCTATTTCCACAATCACTGCATACACTGCGAAGACCTGTCGCATTTCTTGCATTCAGTCAATTCCTTCAGTCCTTGTCGCTCCTTTTTGACACTCTTTCTTTTTCTCTATCTATGTGATCATGGCGAACACGGGGACTAAAAAGCATTCAATTTTTGATAAGCAGGTAACACGCCATCTTTCTTCGTCGACGAATTTCGTTAACAGGAAGCAAAGGATGTCACGCAAGGGTTGAATGTACTTTACACACCTTCAAACTTCACTAAAGAACCAGCAAAATGTATAGAGTGAGTGCTGGCGACACCTACGATCAATTCTCTATTTCTGCTGCTATTCTGACCTTCTACACAGTATCATCGCGGTCCCTGGCCTGGGTGCCGATACGACCCACGCTGTAAGAAATACAAATATTTACAGATCTCTTCTACACCCGCACTTTTTGAACGGAGAAACTTTTCTCATATCTTGGAACACTTACTGACTTGCGTGATAGTGGATCCATAAAGGACCTGACAAAAAGGGGAAGTGGCATTGGCTTAAAGATGATCAAATGCTCCCAAATGTAATTCCCAATGCAAGAATTAGTGTCTTTGGCTACAGGTCTCAGTGGTTTGGTAAAGACGCTGTCCAGACCGATATCAAAGCGATTGCAAATGAATTACTCGAGAGTATTCAAGAAGAACGAGGTGTAGTACGTGGATACCAAACTGTCATTTATGCTTTCACTTACATTTCTTATAGAGAAACGTGAAGAGGCCTATCATTTTTATTGGCCACAGTCTTGGTGGACTTGTGGTTGCCAGAGTAAGTCAAGCAGAATGCTGATATTACGTATGATTCTAACTTGATTCGAAGGCAGTCGTGGACAGAGTCCTCAGGAGAGACGAATTCCCAGACGTTGTAGAATGCATTGCTTCTTGCGTCTTCCTTGGGACTCCTTTCAGAGGCTCACCAGCCCAGCCATACGCAAAGCTACTAGGGATAGCTGGAGATCCAGTAGGGGGTATTGCAATCTACAATAACCTTTTAAAGATTTTGAAGCATGGATCACCTGAGCTGGACGACCTCGCTCATGAATTCTTAGGAGTATCAAGGAAGATGTTTATTCATTTGGTCTGTTATTACGAGACTGTAAAAAGCTCAGGGGTATAACTTTCTCTCATTCTTGTTAAACGATCTTGAATTTCACTAATTCATCTCAAGACCGTTATAGCCAGTAAAGAGTCCTCAAATTTCGAGGGTCACGAAAACCATCCTTGTGATCGAACACATGAGGAGATGAACAAGTTCGGTGGACCCAAAGACGCCGCCTATAGAGCGCTATCCAATAAATTGAGGAGAATTATGTTGAACGAATGGCCCAAAATCCAGAAACTACGAAATTGTGGGCCTTGTCTTTATTTTGAGGCCATGACTGAGCTAACAAGAACTAGCATCTCAAGTGAAATTCGATGACAAGGAAGTTAAAGTCATTCTTGATTCCCTTGAAGGTATCAACCCAAAAAAAGATCTAGAAGCAATCAGAAAAGGCCAAGGAAGTCAATCGTGGATACCGAAAGATCCAGATTATCAAAAGTGGAAAGATTACCCTACCTATCAAAACATCTTGATCTCAGGTGGGCCCCCCAAGGGGAAAGCGAAGGCGGCAATCTCAATCGTAGACGACCTGGATAGTCTGATAAATCAAGTTCCATACCGAGACGACTCCCCAGCACTTACTTATTTCTTCTGCGATGAAAGAGATGTCGACAAGAGCAAAGCAATAAATGTTCTCAAGACGCTAATCTGGCAATTGCTGTCGACCAAACCATTTCTTGCGCGTTATTTTTCCACTGAGAATGATTCTCAAAAAGGTTCACTCGAGAGCGCATCCTTGCCAGAACTATGGAGGTCCTTGACCAACGCTTGTTTAGACAGAGAACTTGGCACCGTCTACTTTGTGGTCGCTGGTCTTGATCAGATTGATTCAGCGTCGCGTAAGGTGTTCCTAGATCTGCTCATATCTTGGAATCCACCGGTAATGGAAGATGAGGATCAGAGTCCCCCAGTGATCAAGTGGGTTTTCTTGAGTGCAGCAAAACCGGATATTGAGATGGCATTACGTGGTGCTATTCGTATCAACCTGGATAATGGAAGCAATTTGGAAGAGCAAAAAAAAGAGCTTCATTCCATAATTGGCTACAAGATCAGGGAGATTTCAATGAAAAACGGCTACAGTCGCTCCCTGGAATAGTGAGCATTCCCTGCCCTTTCTCAGAATAAAACGAGGAAAGTCTAGCTAACTATGTGCCAACCATAGCTATACCAAGAGTTATATTGCTTTTCGTGCAGATGGGAAATCAAACTACGATTGGGTAAATCTTGTCTGCAAAGAACTTGAGTATGATAAACCTCAGTACAATTATATTCGGAGACATCTGGAAAGCTTGCCATCAGATCTTCAGCCAATGTACGAACATCTTTCGAAGCGCGTAAGTTTAACAAGCATCCCTACTACACCGACTTCTGGAGGACAAAAGAATTGGCAGAGCTTCTTTTTCTTTCTATTGGCGTAAGGTGGTCCAAAGCTTTTGGATACTTTGGAAAGTCTACAGTAGGACAAATACCGTAAGCGTTCTAGGTTGTTCGGTCAATTGATGTATTTATCCTAAATAACTAAAGTAGGGAAGTATTTTGAATCAAGTTACGCCAGAATGGGATCCTCTGTCATTCTTGTTGTCCACTGAGAGCTGGGCTAAATGTTCCTTGCTGACAATAACTTAGATTTCTAATAGCCCAGACGACAAACTAGAATGTAGTAAGGAAATCCTCAGATGTTTGCTTCTAGTCGATACACCACCTACATTGTTTGAGCTCGCAGTGATTGCAGATCTTCCGATAGAACAACGAAGGGATGAGGAAGCGATTAACGAACATGTGGCAATTTGTGGTGCATTCGTCGATATTTTCGAAGATTATGAGGGCATATCGAGAGTTCGTACGAGTAACACTTCTGCTCACACTTATTTGGATTCGAAGTCGGAGCAATGGCTCTCGATGCCTTCTAAAGTAATTGACTCGATAATACCTTTTCAACCATAGATACTGTACTAATGGTGAGCTAGAAAATTCAACATGGAATCATCGCTCTACGATGTCTCGAATATGTCCGGTCACACATCAAAGAGAAAGCCCGAGACCACGATCTCGGTGAAAATCAAGATAATGAAGAAGAGCAGGGGCCTGACGAGGAAGAGACAGAGAATAGCGATGACGGGGAACATGAGGACAATGAAGCTGTTGATGATACACTGGCTTATCCCTATATGAAATGGATTGAGCACGCGTTGAAAGCAACGCCTGATATCATCGAATGCTTCGATCTACATGAGGAGTTCTGGGAACTCGGTTCTGAAGACCGCCGAAAATGGGCTGCGTTTTTTCATGAAAATGATGGGGACTTTGATGAGAACTTTTCAACCATGAGCATTGCAGCTTACTTTGGGTACAATGATTTTGCGGATTCAGTTTTGAAGAACGAATTACATCTCAGAGAGCTCAGAATGCCGAACAGCAGCGGAAATTACCCCTTGTATTGGTCAGTACTCTACCTAACTATGTTGTTCAGTGGGTTTATGGTGGCCCCCCATTTGAAGTTCATAGTGCTAACAGCCGGTGTTCTATATAGGGCTTGTGCCAAAGGACACATAAAAATGGTAGATAAGCTGTGCAATGCTGGTGCTGATGTTAACGGCTATCAAAACGACGATGAAGCTGTTGGCCTCTCACCACTTCACGGTGCTGTTTTGTCCGGCAAAATGGAGATAGTTGAGTATCTCCTCACAAAAGGAGCCATCGTTGATACTCCCAACTTATCCCATGGCACTGCCCTTTATCTTGCAGTGGAAAAGGACTATGCTCAAATCGCAAAACAGCTCATGAAGAATGGAGCAAATCCCAATAGTATAGGTGGAGACGATGTACTTCCTTTGAATGCCGCAGCTCAAAACGGAAATCTGGAACTCATTCAACTTCTCGTCCACCAAGGTTCCTATATAGATTGTGATATTGAATACTCGTGGGGCAATGCTCTAGGTGTTGCGTCATATTATGGCCACCCGAAAGTTGTTAAATACCTTCTTTCATTGGGGGCTGCTATCAACAAAACAGATGCGCGAGGATTCTCGCCTCTGAAGTCTTCGGTCTCAACGGGTGCTCGAGGCAATGATGAAATAGTTCGCCTGCTTCTTCAATACGATTCGGACCCGGAATCTCATAATCTAGCGCTCGAGTCGGCCGTCGAAAATAATCTGTTGCAGTGTGTCAAGGTTATCATCGAAAGATGTCCGCTTGTTTCTCATAGAAATCATTTTGAAACTGCTGCCAAGAATGGATTGACAGGAATTCTGAAGATTCTGACAGGTGACGGAATTCCTCAGGAAGTCAAAGATAAAGCTTTATATGAAGCAACTGATAAAGAACACTTTAGCACGGTTGAAATGTTACTGAATATGGGAGCTAGCCGTAACGCCGAAGGCACCGAGTTAGTTTCTTTTCTATCTTTACCCTGACCAACCTTCTTTCATAGCATTGACTATATCTTGTCTAGATTTGGAGACGCCCTTCAAGCCGCGGCTTATGATGGCAATGAGGAAATTCTACGACTCCTTCTCGATAGAGGAGCTGACCCGAACAAGACATATGGTGAAGATACATATGGAACAGCACTCCAAGCCGCAGCTTTCGAAGGAACTCTCGCTAATGTACAGCTACTGGTGGAGCGAGGTGCATTGATAAATTTACCCAAGGTCGGATTGTTTGGGAATCCCCTATATGCCGCCTGTTCAACTGGCAGAGACGAGATCGTTGAATTCTTAATTTCGAAAGGAGCAGACGTCAATGCTGTTGGTGGAGTGTACGGTTACTCTATCATTATAGCTTCAAAAATCAGATACCAAAATTGCGTTGAGCTTTTGGTGAAGGCAAAAGCTGACGTAAATGTCCGTGGGGGACCAGATGGTATCACACCTTTGATTACCGCAGCCGCTGAACTCCCAGTTTCCACTGTCGAACTTCTTCTTGCAAAGGGTGCCAGGCTCCATGATGTTGATAACGACAACAACAACGCATTGCTTACGGCTGCAGCATCAGGTGATTACGAATCCGTTGCTTTTCTGCTCGGCAAAGGGGCTAATATACATCATATCGGGAAATCGGGTGGTGCTCTCCATCGAGCTGCGGCCAGTGGAACGCTGGAATGTGTTCAAGTCCTGTTGAATGATGATAACGATATTGATGTCAATCGGAGGGGCGGCAAATACTTTACTCCTCTTCAAGTCGCTGCTTCTTTTGGAAGCTCGGATATAGTCGAAGCTCTTCTTGGTCACGGAGCAATGTCCATTCCAAAGGGGGTACTTATTTCACAGCTCTACAAGCTGCTGCCGCTTCGGATGATGAAGCCACTGTTCGACTGCTCTTGAAGAAAGGAGCAAAGACGAGTGACAGAGGGGGGCGTCACGGCAGCCCATTGCACGCTGCTGTTCGCGTGGACGCTTCAATTGGACTAATCGATCTTCTTCTTGAGCACAGGGCCGATATAAATGCTGTTGACGACCTCACTGGTAGCGTTCTTGCTCTCGCCGCTCGGCGAGCTGACGACGAAACGGTTATCCATCTTATCGAGAAGGGAGCGGATATCAACTTGGCAGGTGGTAGATATGGTAACTTCATTCAGGCTGCCGTTTATATATGTCCGACAGACACAATCAAGTCTATCCTGAAATATGAGCCCGACTTGAACTTTCAAGGAGGTTATTATGGAAGTGCACTTGCGGCAGCGTCCTCAAGGAACGAGAATGGGCTAGTAGACTTGTTAAACCAAAAACAGAAACCAACCCAACACATACTCGACGAGGCATTGTATACGGCAGTTCATTACCGGGAATCCGACAACGTAGACCTGCTTCTTGAGCATGGTGCCAGCGTGGTGGCTGAAGGCTGTGGACGTGAGAAATGCATCATTGGCCGCTATGAATCCATCCTTGATGCACTTGAAAATGAAATGAGTAAGGAAGAAACTGCTCAGACGAACTTCGACGGTGATAAGGATGAGGTTGAGCTAGAATTTGGAGCCAAATCCGACGATGATGATGAAGATTCAGAGGATGACTATTCCTCACAGGTTTCGGAAGACAACGATGAAGTTGATAAAGCTTCAAAAATTGAGATTTACTTCGGAATAAAGAACATACTCACTACAGCTCTAGATGCTCTCAATCCGCAAAAGGACCAAGTCAAGGAGGTAAGTTCTATCTTTCCAATTCATCTCATCTTTGATCAAGAACAACAGGCTAATACCATGATTCAATAGCCTGCGCCGGAATATAAATCGTTTGAAGCCCCAAAACAGGAGTCTCATATTGTTCCAAATGTTGCTCCAGGAGAACAGCAACTTGAAACATCCAAGAAGCAGCCACAATTGGGTAGGCCAGAGAATACCGATAGAACAGTCTCCGAGCCATCAATACCACCACAGCCATCTATTGCGGAATTACCTGCTACAAGCACAACCAAAAGTTTTTCTTCAACAAATCGATACAAACGACCAACGAGAGAAGAAATAGAAGCAAGGCCATTCAACACGACGGTCCCTAAATCTGATCCAAAAGAGCGACCACCCAGGTACTCGTCTGATTACTCCATTGAGTCTCCTGTTGACACAAGATCCCAATTGCTGGGATTACCTCCCATTGTTTCGGCTGAGCTTGAATCATCACCTCCAAAGCGCCATAATCAACCAATTCCTCCGCCCAAAGAGCCGCCAGCAAGGACTTCCATCTCACAGCCAGCTCCAAACCAACCTGTCTATGCAGCTTACCCGGGCCTTTAACAAGCACTTCCTCCACGGCGCCAAATCTCTCCAGAAAATCCACCAGGAAAAGCGGTTATATCACGTAGATCTGTAGCAACGCCCTCCCCTCCTCCGTCCACTTATCCAACCAACCCCGCTTTGATGCCACAGGGACTACAGCTTCCAAAACGACCAGAAGTAACAGGTCCCCCTTCACCATCTGTTTACGGGCAGTTCTCACCCTACTCCGGTGCACCAAATGTTGCCAGTGTCATAGCTGCATCAAGACCAGCCAGTTCCTCGATATCTACCCCCGGCTATTTTCCCCCACAAACAAATACCGAATACGCTTCAAGGCCAGCCCGAGCTTCTGTGTCGAGTTCAAGCTACTCGTCTGCCCAGCCAGCCGTCAACACTTCGAGACAAAGCCGAGCCACTGTATCTAGCGCCAACAACCTCTCGTATCCACGATCCTCGATACCTGAACGTTTTGTCCGGATGCCTAGCCCATCACCTCCGTCTAGCATGGGAAGCTACAACCCATCAAGAATAGAATACGCGCCTGTATCTACGTCAGGATACCCTTCTCCACAGCCAGTATCTAGTCCTCCCTCATGGCAGAGTCGATCATCTGTCTCTAGCTCTCAAACTAACCCCCCTCCTTATCCTGGGGCTTCGACGACAGATTACTTTGGAGCATCATCTCAAGGCTCTCCTGCGCAACCACCGTATAACATGAATGGTATACCTTACGCTGCGTATAGACCAAGTCAGAGCTCTAGCCAGAATTAGAATCAGAACCAGACTCAGAATCCGAATCCGAATCAGAGTCAGAATCAGAACACTAATCCGAATCAAATTCAGGGGCTCGGCTACGGACGCGGGGCTCCACAACAGCCAAGGCCAAATCTGCAACAACAAGGCTGGAACACATATCGTGGATAGAGCCTTGGGAATTATTTAAGATAACTATAATAATACTTATAAATCCCTAGTTTCTTTTTTTACTTGTATAGTAAAATGAAAAAGCTCTCATTATCTAAACTAAAGTCGGCAGACACCTATTTGAATCCGCTTTAGAAAAACCAAAGCAACCAACCCAAAAGAGTAAGACCTAGATCACTCACCTGACTTAACGCGGATGGCGGGAAAAACAAGTAGCAGTTGTTTGTTTGCTACCTCCATCGACTCGAGCGAGCCAATCACCAAGCCACCCTACAGTCTCTCCCTCGTCGTCCTTGTCGCTTACCGAGATATCTCCGTGTTTGGCGAGCCCCTATTCAAAGGATTCTACCGTCAAAGTTGGAGACTTAACGTGGTACACTATGTATCGCGCATAGAATAGTAAGTAAAAGGAGCTTATATCAGACGAGAAAACTCTGCTTCTATACATGTAGAATGTCTATGATCACATGACTACACGTGACCCTATTCCTGTTGTGATACTATGTAAATAAAATATTCTAGAGATCATAGAAGTCTCTCTTAGCTTAGATGGTAGTACCAAATATAATATTTTGATAGGTTTGACTGAAACCCAACGCACACTAGAAACATTCCTCACGGGACAAGGTACACCTATGCGCACACCAGCGCAGTTACTCACGTAACAAGCACAATCATTAAACCCCCAACAAGTCAAAAGAAGAGAGAATCAAGTGAAAAGAATCATTCATGTCCATGATCCAATGAGGAAATCAAATACTCACAATCAACAAATGGTATCCCTCGCTACACAAAAAGAGAAAACGAGAAACGCCAACCCATCCCATCCCACACCCCAAGTCCCGATCCATGCTCTGCATAACGCCCCAGCCCAAAATACTCATACAAATACACATTTTCTACGGTTCCAGATGTGACCACTCCGGGATCGCCTTGATTTGAGCCCACATGTACTTTTCCAACTTATTTGCACTCTTAGCATATGGAGTCGTCTCATTGTTATACTTCCGACAATTGTCAAAAATCAACTTGGCATCGCGCGTGAAGTCCTCTGGAGTAGCGTAATTGTCGTTTTCCAGCTTGATCTCCATAGTGGCAAGGTCCATGGGCTCTTTGATAACTTCGTAGTAATCAGCTACATCGTCTTTGCTGACGGGATTCAAGAAGGGCCAGGAAGATTGATGGTTCTGCATGTCATTCAGAAGATGCAATAGTTGATTGTAGTTAGGCCCATGGCGAGGTTGACGAGCAAGTTCATCCATGTCTGGTGACCAGCCCGATGCTCGGATCGCTTCGATAGACATTGGGTCGATTTTGCAAGGTCCATTCTTCCACTGCTTTGGAGGCTGATGAATTTGGTGGCTCTTGCTGAAAGCTCGAATCTTGGCGTGTACTGCCTCTTTTTGCTTGAGTAGCATGCGGCCCATTTCTAGATACCGGACCTTTGGCAACATGCTGCATTGCATGATTGTTCCTCCCTCATAATCCTTGATATACCCCATCCATTTAGACTTCTCGAGGGTGATCTCTTTCGTGAAACCCTGTTTCTTGAAATAGCCAATGGCGTAGTTATCTGCATATGTGAGGAAATGCATGACATCCGAGGTCGCCTTAACATAATCTTTCAAGTGAGACATGAGATGCGCCCCATAACCTTTCACCTGCTGTGAGGAGTCTATGGCACAAAACACAATCTCTGCAAACTGGCGACCCTTAAATGGTCGATATGTGATCCCTCCGACTACCTCCAGGGGTTTCTTGACAATAGCAATTGATAAATGTGTGCGGTCGTAGACAAGTCTTGCAATGTAATCCTTAGGCATTTTAGGTAACTGCTTCTGGAAAATGCATTTGAGCCCCGTCAATATTATCATGCTTTCTCGCTGGTTATCATTATTGACCACCCGAAACTCGATCTCTCCATTTCGTTCTTCCAAAACTGCTGGCTTGAAGGTATAGTCAGTAAATGATACCCTTCAACATGAGATAAGTATGTTCATACTTTTTCTGGAAACGGAATTGGATCTGGTCCCTTTAAAAGCTTCTTTTCAGGCTCTGGTGAACCACTATGTGAGCTCTTAAGTCGCTTGTTGTCAGATGGGCTGGGGTCATCCTCAGCTTTGCGTTTGGAAACTGGCAGGAATTAGCGACCACATCATAACAGAAAAGAAGTTTGTATGTACCATTTTCCTTTAAAGGAGCCATCGCTTTGAAAAACAGTGGTTGTGCCTGAAGCTTTATTTTTTCCAAAGCCCGTCTAAGATATCCGTTCCAATCCCCCCGTTCTAGCGCGTGTATTTGCTTGGGTCTATAGGAATGCTTCGCCTCGGAATAGACGTCCTTGACCGTCGCGTAATAAAGCTGCGTATCAATTGGACTTTGCGCCAGTTGTGGTCTGGTTGTTTGGGATATGCCAGGACTTTTGAACGGGTTGAATTGTAACTTGAGGTTGAACCTGGATATCTGAAAGTTCTTCAAGCGCTGATTTCTCTCCTTTTTGTCTGGTCTTTTGGATATAGGCTCAATGTCGGTTTCCAAGTCCTCAGAATCAGTATCCTCTTCCGACGAATCAGACGGCGACGGTGTATGCGACTGGGGTGAGGTTGAGTACAAAGTGATCTGCGGACCGAGGTTGAATGTGCCCTTCGGAGGCTCTTCACCAGCAGAGTGTTCCGATCCTAAAGATATCGCCATGTTAGCAAATGCAGCGCCCCAACCCAAGAGCTGGATGAAATTCATAATGCGGGGGAGGAAGGTGGACGAGGATACGAGGACGCGCGAGGCAGACTAACGTTGGCTTTGGTTTGATGGATCGTCTCGAAGACTTGTTCTGCCCGATGGTTATGATGGTGTTGAAAATACCACGTTGGCGTCGCCCCGATTGCTGTTAGCGTTGAGGTGAATCGTCACTGGTCATCGCATACAAATGGTGAGATTCGTTGAGGCTATATTGCCTGCGCGGCGTCATGCGCATTAGGTTTGTTCAAGTGGAGATGCCGGGGCTCGGACCGGAACAGCTTGCCCCGGCGTGCGACGCGGCTGCTTTCGGTGATGCCAGATTTCGGTGGCTTGCACAGCTGGACGTCGAAGCTGCGGGCATTTCTGAAAACACCATCTTCCTCCACCACCAAACATTCCTCGATCCGCGCGCAGAAAAAACGAACGTCAATTCCATTCCAACCCGTCAATCCCAATCTTATGGATACATCATTGCACCACGTCTGGGAGAGCGCTTCCGGCAACCCATTCATCCCAACCGTCAGCAAGGATAGCCACTTCGTCGTTGGCTTTTCCCTATTGACAATTGGACTTCTCCTTTCCGGACTGTTTGGCCTGAGTAGGTTTGGAACCTATCTTGGGTAGCTGGCCTTTCTAATCGTGAAATAGACCGATCTGTGGTCAACATCCCATTAATTGGGATTCCAGCTTCGTTATCCATTGCGTAAGTATAACCCATTGGATGATACTTGACGTCTTTCTCATGTACGGCAGATTCGGTGCGGTGTATATGATCTGCGCGGTTGGCGTTTATGTTTAAGAGACCACTCGGTCCTCAACCCGATACGAAATCCCAAGGCGCATCTGTTGTATATTAGTTGGGAAAATATCAAAATCAGAACACTTTCAATACTTCAAACGCAGACCCTGTGATATCTGCCATTCGAGAGCATCACTTCATTTTTCCAAATCATACACAAGCCAGGATGTCTACGATTGTCGAGGCGGAGAATGGAGCTCCCATCTTCAAAGCGGTCTCAAGTTCTGCAAGGCAGCTATTCCAATTGCTCAACTGCATTCGTTTTGCTCCCAAGGCTCAGGTTCAGATCAGCAGTGAGGGTCTGAGATTTGCGGTAGAGGCTTCTAGGGTCATGCAAGGTTAGTCTCCTTATATGTATCCCAGGACCCCGCAATAACGATTCCCAGGCATTGTTTTCCTTGATAAAGCGCTTTTTACCTCATTCAAGTTCAATCAACCTGCGGGAGAGGTCTCGGAAGAGGACCCAGAATTTGCTGCGCCCGACCTACCCAACTTTCAAACTTCCTTAGCAGCTCTCCTTGAAACTCTTCAGATATTTGGAGCCGAAAATGCCGTAAGTAACCGCGTCTCCAAGTCTGAAAACGATGGTTATAATAGCAATATTCGTCGGGATCGCCCAAATGCTTTCAGCAATCAGGCGCTCGGGATGGCAGGCACATGCAGACTCTCTTATCAGGGTGAGGGGTCACCATTCAGCATTATTCTTGAAGAATCTGGCGTCACTACCACATGCAACCTCAATACCTATGTCTCCGAAAATCCCGAAGAAATCCCTTTTCAACGCGATGCCATGGCAGTCAAAATCATCATGCAAGCACGTTGGCTTTCGGATGCGGTTGCAGAGCTCTCATCTACTTCTCCAAGTCGGTTAGATATCACTGCACATACTGGGGCACCATATCTTAGTCTTTCATCTCTGGGTCACCTTGGTAGCGCAAGTGTCGAATTTTCCAAGGGTCGTGAACTGCTTGAGACCTTTACAGTAACACAGACATGGACTCAAAGTTATAAATTTGAGATGATCAAAGCTGCAGCTGAATCTATGCGATTGGCTAGCAAGGTCAGCATTCGAGGTGACGAGCAAGGTGTTTTGAGCATGCAGTTTATGGTTGAAGTTGAGGGTGGTGGCATAAGTTTTGTTGATTACAGATTCGTTCCTTTTCTACAAGATGAAGAAGCAGAGGATGATGAGTATGAAGAGGAAGAGGATGAGGACGAGGACGGAGAGAATGATACCCAAGAGCCTTGATAGTCTAATGACCTTGCTTTATATTTTATGAATCTCAGCTACTTTTATCCGTCTATGTTTGTCCCAATCCCTCTTTCTCTCACTACCCCTTCTGCAACCACAACTGGTCTCTGACTAGTGATACAAGTATATGGCAGCAACTCCTCTGTTTGACAGCTCCCAGCTCCTCTCCTGCCCCCGTCCTCACAATAACCCTGATACCAGGGCAGTAATTGAGCATAAATTGTCTATACATCCCACAAGGACTGCTCACCCAACGGCCTTCCACGATTTCCACCACGCAAATCATCCTGTCTTTCTCTGCTTCCTCGTTATTTCCCTCTTCTCGCCTATTCCTTCCCCCTCGGTATCCCTCTCTTTGTCGGCCACACATCCAGTATATAATATGGGTGGCAACGTTCATTCTTGGTAAATACTTGCTTCTGTTCATGTTGTTATCTAGTTTTCCTTTCTGTTGTTATACCTTTGTAAAAACATCAATTTCGATGAGAGGTCATGGGCAGTAAGTGTTGTTCCGAGATGTCTGCATATTTTATCACTTTCAAATCATAAAACGGTAGCTGTATATGTTCCACAAAAGTTCTTCAATTGTTTGAAAGCTAAGCGAAATTCGTTAAAATCTTCACATTTCAGGACTTGGATACCCATTTAGCACAGTTGCCCCACAGATAGTAAACGAGTAATCAAGTCCCTTCGAAACTTCCGGCGAGAGAGCATATGGCTTATACATGATCAATGTCTCGGGTGTATTCGCGACAACCAGACTGGCCTCGTCGCCAACTACCACGTCCGCCCATCCAGCGCCATTTTCAAGCTCCGTATATGTTACAACGCCAGATTTCATGTTTCGGACGACAAGTGTTGCTGTGAATTTCATGGAGCCGGTAACTTCTACGTCGACGGTTTGAGCCCCGGTCACGTTCAGGGGAATGATGTTTGCGCCCATGTAACGGGGTTGGCGAGCGGCTATGACTTTGTATTCCCCTTCTGTGACGAGGTCAACGTTTGTATAGTTGGCTAAATGTCGCCAGTTGAATAACACCTCTAGGCCAGGGGCGTGTCCGATGTCCCAGTAGGCCATGCGAGCCCAGTATTTTCCTACCAGCTCGCCGACTGTGGCGCAGGTGGAAATACGGGATAAAGTGTGGAGAGGGGTCTCGTGGCTGTTGGGTTCGTACTGACGCATCAATTCCCTGATAGTATTCTTTCCGAGACCCTCGAAATTGTCCAGGTTGTTTGTCAAGTATGTGAAAAATGGCCATGCATCGTAGACGTTTGTAGTATTCCTTGTGCCGTCGACTATAACTTGGTGAGAGTCACCGAGGACTTTTTGGAGCTCTATGTATGTTATATTGCCTTCTACACCGTGTTTTGTTCTTGCTGGTGCACACAAATCCGAGACTGAGGAGGCATCGGCAGCCCAACCTCCTAGGACCTTCCACCAGCCTCCGGAGTTAAGATTGTTCATCCAGGATCTCTCGTGGTACATCATGGCAAAAGCATATATAGAGATCGTAATGACCGGGTCGGTCAAAACATCCTTTCTGTTTACAACAGAAAACCATGCCATTCCTTTGCTGTCAGTTGTGTTAAACTGACCAGCGATTCCAGGGCCAAGGTCATCCACGGAGTAAATATTCGTCTTGGTAAATGGTCCAAGGGCATCTTGTCCAGCCGAAATGTTGACAGATGAACCAGTCGAGCGCCATCCTAGATCCGTGACAAAGCAATCGTATGCAGCTTCCATCATATTCAGGGTATCATTCGCGGTGGCTTCTTCCAAAGTCCCATACAGTCGGAAATGGCTTGAGTCTTTGAAAACATCTCCTCCTGGACCAAGGGTTGGATCCGCTGTGAAATTGGCTGGCTCGGCTCTCCCAACAATGTTATTCCAAACTGCTGCTGGAGTATTAGCGCTGCCCACTGCAGCGAGAAAAAGGAGTGTGATAAGTTGGATCATTGTAAAGAATGTGTTGTTGGTCCGAAAACTTGGAGAAGAAAAAAGGAAATACTTGCGGGTGTTTTTGAGATGTTATACAATCTGGGTAATTAATATTATTCCAACCCAACCCAATAGGAGCAAGAACTTAATTGACTCCCGATTTGGGTTCATTTATCCCAATATACATGCAATCGGTACTCCCATATTTTGGAAGGGATTCAGAGATTCGTATTTAATTAAATCAAAGTTCCTAAGGGGATTAATAAGAATTGATCCCTACCTAGGTAGGGCCGAGTCACTAGGTCCAAGTTACGTTAGCATGTCCGAGCACCTAAGATATACTTTTACTAGCGTTTCAAGCCAACCACACGTAATATACATATATTACTGCCCTTCTCCCACACTCACTTCGGCCCTTTCATAACCTCAAGTCAGTCCCTATATATAAGTACGTACTGTACTTGTTCCTGCCTATCTCCCTACTCTCTGTACTATCCCTACCTGTAGCCACTTAGCTGCTCCTATCTATTATACCCTCTTGCAAATCCATATTTATTCTACCCATAGCTCCATAACCCCCCTTCTCTGTCCCTTCTATATTGGTACGCAACTCTAGATATAAACAGCAGTACTAAAGCAGAAAATTATAGAGGATAATTTATATATATAATGGGAGCCATAGGCTATTGGTTTTTTGTCTATTTTGGACACTGTTCATATATCAGTGTATCACTAAAGTTTAATAGTCCATTGACATATGGCTGTCAATAGTCTAGGGACCCGTGCGCTCACTGAGCAAGCCAAAATGGACGATCAACATTGCGTAAGAAGTAGCCATGGAGTACGGATACTTGAATCGTAATTGGTTAATTTGTAATTAATATGCGATTTCCTTATTATATATCAATGGGCTTTTGGGTTATATTGACCCTAATCTTAGTGGCAAAACGAGCCTCGAAATAGGCTGGAAAAGTGCTATGTACTGAGTAGTTAGGACGATCGAATGATGACCTGATCGATGATCTACAATTCCTCCATGACATCTGTGTGCTGGTTGTGCCTAAGATCTGATACTGAAAACTTCACTACTCATTGTCTTGTCCAATTCGAGGTATTCGGTACCTTCCATGGTATCCCAATACACCAGGAAGGGAATGCAACCGATGACTTTCAAAAAATGCGACCAAATATGAAGAAACATCCTTGTAATGAATGTATGCTTCTATGAGGAGGAGATTTCTTAGTCTGTCAAAAATGATTAAAGATATTACGTAGACACGTGGGCTGTTGTGAGAAATTAAACTCTGGCTGGAGAACTCATCAGTTTATTTATAAATGTGTGTTGTCCAAACTAGGTATTACATAATTTGTCCCTAGGGGTGGGCAACACTAGTATACATACACTAGCTACGTCATTTTAGCAGATTGGCATGGATATTCAGACTTAATACCCCAGCATAAGCCAATCAGAATAATAAAACGATTCTCATATACTTATGTATTTTTAAATTTCTGGTCCTTGTCTGTTATTTGATGGTTCACTAGTCTCAGTTTAATAGTCCCAGCTCTCTACCAAGGCCCTAGAAAACTAAATTGATGGTTTGCCATTTATTCGAGGACAATAAAACTCCGAAGTAAACTTATGGCTATACAATCATCCCTTGGTTTGTGTAACCCGAAATCAAAACCACTGATAGCTGACGAAATTTCCTTTCTATCGTTGGCAGCTACTTGTGATACACAGTTATTGCTGCTATGAGAGGACTGTCACGTGTAGCCATTGCTCCTGTTTGAGTAATAAGTACGCTTCTACTCCTTCAGCTTCTTCAGTAGACACAATATGAACAACTTTTGGTACTGTGAGAGGCCAGACCTCGAATAGCTCAAAGGTGTGGTTTCGAATATTCAATTAAGAAGTACGTGAAGACTACATACATGCAATCTCTTCCTCTATATATAGAGAGAGGAAGAGTTTCTGGAGTCTTCCAAGAAACTGTTTGACAAATACGTGACGTCGAAAGAATAGAGTAGAAAAGTGTAGAAAAGGAGAAACCAATTTAACAGTGGAGCAATGGCCAATGCTGAGCGGGGACTTTGGTCAGTGCTTAGCGAGGGCATGGCCCGAGCCTCCATCATGGGTTCCAACCCTCACAGGTACACCTCATTTGCCCTCTTCAATATACATTCTGTATCACCTCTTGTACCAATAGATATCAAAGTAAGAGAATTTCTATCAAAGTGACTGGTGAAATGGTGTAAGTGAGCGAATAAACCATAGATTGAAGCAAACAGCCCCTTTCTTATTCACAGCTTTCCGAACCAGGGCATTGACTTGGATTTTGTAGAATAGACATGTTGCTTTTTCCAACCTGGGGGTTTTGATTCTTGTTTTTAACCATGGATCATTTCAGCGATTGAAAAAATAGTCCTCGAAGTCGGAAGTTTGTGTTTGTGTTAAACTACTGTTACAAAAGGTGCTATTAGTGACCCTTCCACAGCTCTACCGATAAATTAAGTCCAAAAGTCTACAAATCATTATACCATGGTGGGATTATTTATTAATAGCATATATGCGGCTCTGTTGCTGTGATATTTAGCCGAACGTGGCACCAAATATCACACTACTGTAAGAAGCAAGATCGTGGGTATAGCACCTAACGAAGCTCCTAGCTGAAGTTTTTTGATTAGACCAAACATGAGACTTTACCTTTCGTTTTTGGAGAAACCAAGAGGCTGCATTAAATCTTTGTATTGGGTATTCGAGAAGGATATTAGCTACTCGTGGCTAATTGGTAGCAGATCTCTATGGCTGGATTGGCAATGTGGATCTTCCATTAAGTGACCAACGAGCCAACTACCATTATGTGCTAATTGATACCAGAAAGTTCAGGTATCGAAAATTGATCAGAAGCTCCAGAAGACAGATGGTGCTAGAAAGCAAGAGTTCTTGAGGCACCTACTTTAATATGGGACTTCTTCATCTGAGTCCAATCAAGACTTCTTGTCCCAAAAGTCATGAGTGAATTACTGAAGTGAGTTTTCCTTGCTCATATCTATATTCAAAACTTGATACATGATATAGTGAAACCAACTTTCGCACTGGCACTTATAGTTTGGAAGATGCAGGTAAGTAGGGAGGGGAGTCACTGGGAGTGAATAGATTTGTGTAACCTTATCGGTATAACCTTGGCAATGGCGTACCACGTTCTTCTTCAGCCTTGCAGATCACAAGCTTTGAAGCCTCGCCATCTCGAGCAACGTGAGAGAACCCCTCAACCTTCCTATTTTATCGACACGATGAATTTGGCACTCACTGATCCCTTTGGTCTTGCTCAAGACTATCCCGAATCCACTACAGGAAGCCTTCGAAGCGGGCACGCGTGCGCTCTTCGTTTCAATCGCAAGGGCGACTACCTCGCAGCTGGACGCGCCGATGGCGTGGTTGTGATCTTTGATGTTGAGACGCAGGGTGTCGCACGAAAATTGAAAGGACATACTCGGCAGATTCAATCTCTGAGTTGGTCACATTGTGGCAGATACCTCTTGACGTCCAGCCAGGATTGGAAATGCAATCTTTGGGATTTGCAAGATGGCAGCATTTTACGAAGTATTAGATTTGAGGCGGCAGTCTACATTGCGGAGTTGCACCCGTGGAACCAGTAAGTTTGCGATCGCGTCTCTCGCTGATGGCTCCAATTGATTGGGACAATAGTTTAGTGTTTGTTGTGGCTCTCTACGAAGATCAACCCTTATTCATCGATGCCTCGGATCCTTTGACTCTGAAATATCACCTCCCTTCAGCACCAAAAAGAAGGGCAGACGAAAATTTGACCGAGAAGCAAATAGCAGCAGATTTCAAACAATCAACCACTGTCTGCGTATTCTCAGCATCAGGGGAGCATATTTTGGCCGGTACCAATAAAGGATGGTTGAACATAATCGAGGTTGAATCGAGGTCCACGATATATTCCACAAAGATTTGCGGGGGCGTGGTGACTCTCTTACGACTTACCAGCTCGGGCAGAGATATCGTCATTAATTCTATAGACAGGGTCATTCGAACTGTACAGATGCCCAATTTATTGGCGGATCCGGATACGATTAATATCGAGGTCGAACATAAGTTCCAGGACGTTGTCAATAGATTGATGTGGAATCATGTGGCATTCAGTTCTACTGGAGAGTATGTTTCAGCTTCAACATATAACAATCACGATATTTATATTTGGGAGCGAAACCATGGCAGTTTGGTAAGAATTCTGGAGGGGACCAAGGAGGAACATGGCGTTGTTGAATGGCACCCCCATCGGCCAATGATTGTTGCTTGTGGGGTGGAGACAGGTCGCATTCATATCTGGTCAATCGTACCCCAACAACGATGGTCAGCTCTGGCACCGGATTTTGTGGAGGTTGAAGAGAACGTGGAATATCAGGAACACGAAGACGAGTTTGACATTCACCCCCAGGAAGAGATACATAAAAGACGTCTTGATCTTGAAGATGACGATGTTGATGTTTTGACTGTTGAGCCTATCAAGGGGTTAGATGAAGAGAATCACTTCCGGATGCCAGTACAACTCGATCTTCAAGATAGCGAGGGCGAGGAGGAGTTTGTTGCCATCGGGAGGGGAGAGATGCGAAGGAAAAGCCCAACCCAGAGCAAAGAATATATCCTTGATACCGAGGTCGTAGGTAGCGGAGATGACCTGCCGAAAAAGGCAAGAAAGAAGAATAGAAAGCGTTGATTTTCTTCTCCGGCGTGGTGTTTTGGAGTTATTACGGAGAATGGCGTTTATTCGGCTGAGAACTCGTAAAGGGGACAAAATTCAGGTAGATACCAATTTCAAGAATGCTTTTCAGGCGAAATTCTTCTTCAAAGTCAATGACTGATCAACACTGCAAATTTAACATGGGTCTTCTACTCAAGTATTTCCATGGGCATTTGATATTCTCTCCCCCTTTACTCGTATCTTCTGGTTGTTACCTAAAGTGTGGGAATGGTGGGTAAAAGATGCATTTATCTTGCGGCGAAGAGTCACAATTCAAAATAGTGTAAGTAAGCATATTCCAGCCTTTACCCTCTTGGGACCGAAAACATCCCTGGACCCCATGGTATGCAGATTTGCCTCAGCCTTGCAGCTTTATACTTGCTCATAGTGAATGGATTTTGGCGAACCTGAAGGACAGGTACAGGTGGCTGAGATTCAAACCCCTGTTGGGCCACCTGGGGCCCACCTTTCTGTTTTGGGCTAGCGCGTGAGAGCCGCAAGTTCAGGTCAGTTCTTTGCGCGTCCTCGACAAAGGGACATCTCCCCAACCACCATCAACACCATCAACCTCAGCATCGACCGAAGGAATCGCACGCCCACAGTCGTGCATTCCCCTCGGCCATCCTTTCTCACGAGAAAGACGATCATCCGCCAGTTTTTCCCGTCACCGTCGAGTGTCTAGATCTGCCGCGTCCAGAATCTCAAGCTTACGACAGAGGCCTTGGGCCTGCGCTGCCTTCAGCGCCATTGCGACACCTTCCTTCTCACCGCGCCATCGAATCTTTGCGTCTGTACTATCATATACCCATAATAATATCATTTGCGACAACCGGATCGCGCGTTTTCCTCTTGTCAACACCTCTCCTTTAATATTGGCTTTGCCACCTTCACCTTCACCTTCAAGGTCATCGCTGGCAGCCTACAACAGTCATTATGGCGAACCTCAATTTCGTGCACTCGGATGCGCCGCTCAAGATTATTCAGGAGATCCAATTTGGACTGTTATCTCCTGAAGAAATCAAAAGCATGAGTGTAGCTCACATTCTCTATCCCGAGACGATGGATGAGAGTCGAATGAAGCCACGCGAAAGTGGTCTGAACGATCCCCGACTCGGTTCCATCGATCGACAGTTCAAGTGCGCAACATGCGATCAACAGATGGCAGAATGTCCCGGTCACTTTGGACACATCGAGCTGGCGAAACCTGTCTTTCACCCCGGATTCATTAAGAAAATCAAGAAGATTTTGGAAATGGTCTGCAACGACTGCGGGAAAATCTTGCTAGATAGAGTCAGTGTGCCAATAAAGCACGGTAGATTCATTGAACCTTAGGGCTAACGTGAGACTCAGAGCAATCCAGCATTCAAAGCCGCCGTCAATATTCGAGACCCCAAACGTAGATTCGATACCATATGGAGACTTTGCAAGGCCAAAATGATCTGCGACCAAGATTCGAATAACGAAGGCGCAGATGGAAAGGATGCGACAGTTTCGACACATGGAGGTTGTGGAAACATTCAACCAGAAGTGCGTCAAACTGCTTTGCAACTTATGGGTACATGGAAGCATCCTAAGGATGAAGACGGCGAGACCCCACCGCCAGACAAGCGATTGATTACCCCAGAAAAAGCATTGCAGATATTTAAAATGATATCTTCGACTGAAATCCGCGACTTGGGTCTTAGCAATGATTATGCGCGACCTGAGTGGTTGATCATTACAGTTTTACCTGTTCCACCACCACCGGTCCGCCCTAGTGTTTCCATGGACGGTACAGGCCAAGGCATGCGAGGAGAAGATGATTTGACTTATAAGTTGGGTGATATCATTCGAGCCAATAGCAATGTTCGACAGGCACAGCAGGAAGGTTCACCAGCCCATATCCAGTCGGAATTTGAACAACTTCTGCAATACCACGTTGCGACGTACATGGACAATGACATCGCCGGTACACCCCAGGCACTGCAAAAATCAGGTAGACCTGTCAAGTCTATTCGTGCCCGTCTAAAGGGAAAGGAGGGACGTCTACGAGGTAATTTGATGGGTAAGCGTGTTGACTTTTCAGCACGTACTGTCATTACTGGTGATCCAAATTTGTCTTTGGACGAGGTTGGTGTGCCGAGAAGTATCGCCAGAGTTCTCACGTACCCAGAAACTGTGACTCCATACAATATTGGAAAGTTGTCACAGCTTGTTAAGAATGGGCCGAATGACCACCCTGGTGCGAAGTATGTTCTCCGATCAGATGGCAGCCGTCTCGATCTGCGGCACAATAAAAACGCGAGTGGCGTCAATTTGGAGTATGGCTGGAAAGTTGAGCGACATATCGTTGATGGAGACTTTATTGTCTTTAACCGTCAACCATCTCTCCATAAGGAATCTATGATGGGTCACCGAGTCAAAGTTATGCCTTATTCAACCTTCCGACTGAATTTGTCTGTTACTTCGCCGTACAACGCTGATTTTGATGGAGATGAGATGAATTTGCACGTACCTCAGACAGAAGAGACTCGAGCCGAAATTATGAATCTGTGCATGGTCCCATTGAATATTGTTTCTCCTCAGCGAAACAGTCCTCTCATGGGTATTGTGCAGGACACCCTTGCAGGTGTGTATAAAATGTGTCGTCGAGATACTTTTATCACCAAGGAAATGCTCATGAACATTCTGTTGTGGGTTCCCGAATGGGACGGTGTTATTCCACAACCAGCCATCATCAAACCCAGACCGCGTTGGACCGGCAAGCAATTGATCAGTATGGTCATTCCAAAGATCGTCAATATCTTCACTCCCTCTGATGCAGGAGGCGATGCACCTCTAAAGGATGATGGCATGCTGATTCACAGCGGTGAGCTGCTCTACGGGCTCTTGACCAAAGCATACGTAGGTGCTTCGGCAGGCGGAATTATTCACATTATTTTCAATGAACACGGACCAGATGCTGCCATGGCTTTCTTCAACGGCTGTCAGCGGGTTGTGAACTACTGGCTTCTTCACAATGGTTTCAGTATTGGTATAGGTGATACTGTTCCGGATAAAGCCACCATTGACAACATTGAGGACGCAATCAATACTCAAAAGGACCAGGTCGCTGCTCTTTTGGCAAAAGCCACAGCAGGTGATTATGAACTTTCTCCGGGTATGAACCTTCGTCAATCGTTCGAGGCCGATGTTTCCATGGCCTTGAACAAAGCTCGTGATGTGGCTGGAACTAGAACTGCAGACAGTTTGAAAGATTCAAACAACGCTGTCATCATGGCCAAGTCTGGCTCAAAGGGGTCAACCATCAATATTTCTCAAATGACCGCACTTGTTGGCCAACAGTCTGTTGAAGGAAAGCGTATTCCATTTGGATTTAAATACCGAACACTTCCTCATTTCACAAAGGATGATTATTCTCCAGAATCAAGAGGATTTGTTGAAAACTCCTACCTTCGAGGTTTGACACCAACGGAGTTCTTCTTCCACGCCATGGCTGGTCGTGAAGGTCTTATCGATACCGCTGTGAAGACCGCTGAAACAGGTTACATTCAACGACGTCTTGTCAAGGCATTGGAGGACGTTATTGCGAAATATGACGGCACGGTCCGAAATTCTCTGGGCGATATTGTCCAGTTCGTTTACGGTGAGGATGGTCTTGATGGAACAATCATCGAGAAGCAACGCGTGGATCATATTACTTCCACTGACAAATCCTTTGCCGACCGTTATCGTCTTGACGTCACGGATGCGGACAATCAGGTCTCCGCTGATGTGTTAGAATATGCCTCAAGCATCAATGGCAATGAAAAATCCCAGCAGCTTCTCGATGAGGAATGGGAACAGCTTTTGGAAGATCGCGCTTGGCTTCGTGACCTAAATGCCCGCAACGCAACCGACGACAAGATGCAGCTGCCCTTGAACATTGTCCGTATCCTCGGTAGCGCTCAAAAACTCTTCAATATTGACGATTCTGGACGAAGTGATCTAACCCCTGACCTTGTCATTCCCAGAGTCCGAGAACTTTTGAGTAAATTGGTCATTGTTCGTGGTAATGATCCTTTGTCGGTAGAGGCACAAGAAAACGCAACGAAGCTCTTCAAATCTCAAATTCGGTCAAGGCTTGCCTTCAAGCGTATCGCTTGCGAAATGAAACTTACCAAGCTAGCTTTTGAAAATGTCTGCAAGGAGATCGAGACTCGTTTCGAACGTTCCTTGGTCAACCCAGGAGAAATGGTGGGTGTTCTCGCTGCTCAGTCAATTGGAGAACCTGCCACGCAAATGACACTGAATACTTTCCATTTCGCCGGTGTGTCTTCCAAGAACGTCACCCTTGGTGTCCCCCGCCTAAAGGAAATTCTCAACATTGCCTCAAACATCAAGACACCTTCCATGGTCATTTGGCTCAACGGGGAAGATCGCACTAGAAATACGAAGGCTGAAGCTTTCAAGCTGCGTGGTGCTATAGAACACGCAACCTTACGCTCCGTCACTGAGTCCACTGAGATTTACCATGACCCCGATATTCAATCTACGAATATTGAGGCAGATTTGGACATGGTCGAATCCTTCTTCATCATTCCTGAGGAACATCAGGATTCTCTTGAAAACCAGTCAAGATGGTTGCTTCGTATCGTTCTCGACCGCGCACGCATGCTTGACAAGGGCTTGAAGGTCGAGGATGTGGCCATTAGACTCAAGGAAGAATACCCTAAGGACTTGGCTGTCATCTTCAGTGACAACAACGCCGATGAGCTGGTCATTCGCATCCGAATGATCAATCCAGACAAGCTTGAGGATGAAGATGTTGAGCAGGATATTATGCTCAAGCGACTGGAGGCTCACATTCTTGATACCTTGACACTCGGTGGTGTGCAAGGCATTGAGCGTGCTTTCTTGGCCGAGAAGCCATTCCTCACTACACTTCCAGATGGATCACTCTTTTGCAAGAAAGACCCAGGCTTTACCGAATGGCATCTTGATACCACCGGAACCGCATTGGCACAAGTTTTATGTGTTCCAGGAGTGGATGCAGCTAGAACCTATACCAATCACTTCGTTCAAGTTCTCGAAGTCCTTGGTATCGAAGCTGCCAGAGGTGCTCTGATGCGAGAGTTGACCCAGGTGTTGGCTTTCGATGGTTCTTATGTCAATCATCGCCATCTTGCATTATTGGTTGATGTGATGACATCTCGAGGTCTCTTGATGGCCATCACCCGTCACGGTATCAATCGTGCTGATACTGGTGCTTTGATGAGATGTTCCTTCGAAGAGACTGTCGAAATTCTATTGGAAGCTGCTGCTATTGGTGAACTCGATGACTGCCGTGGTATTTCTGAGAATGTCATGCTTGGTCAATTGGCCCCTATGGGAACTGGTGAGATGGAGGTCCTGCTTGATCCTAAGATGCTTGACACTGTTATATCCGACAACGGTAGAATGGGTCTCATGCCTGGACTCCCAGTTCAAGGTGCGGATGGTGCTGCTACACCCTACGACAGTGGATCCCCTCTACAGGAAGTTGGTTACATTGGCTCTCCCGACTACCAATCTGCCGGGTTTTCGCCTGTTCAAACTGCTGGCTCCGATGAACCTTCTGGATTTGGTAACGAGTACGGTGGTGGGTACGGCAGTGGTGGTCTCAGCCCATACACACCTCAACGTAGCCCCGGTGGTGGATGGTCTCCCGTCAGTCCTTTCAATTCGGGCAGTCCAACCTCTCCAGGATATACTCCAACTTCTCCGGGCTACTCTCCTACATCTCCTGGTATGACAAGCCCTGGGTATTCTGCTACATCGCCACGCTTCTCGCCTAGTAGTCCGGCATTCACACCAACGTCGCCAGCCTACTCGCCAACCTCACCTAGCTTTGTCTCTCCAACCTCACCGTCGTACTCACCGACATCTCCTAATTACTCGCCGACGTCTCCAAATCTTCATGGATCGCCAACGTCTCCCAACTACAGTCCCACATCGCCAAGCTACTCGCCCACGTCGCCTAGCTACAGCCCAACTTCACCAAACTTTGCACCCAATAAGACTTCGCCTGGTTCTGGATTGTCGCCGACTAGCCCGGTATATAGCCCTACTAGTCCAAGCTTCAGTCCAACAAGCCCCGCTTACCAGGCAAATGCCAACGCTACTTCGCCAAAGTATTCTCCCACTTCGCCCTCATACTCCCCAACCAGTCCGCAATTCTCACCCAGGTAAAAAGGCTCCCATCATAATTCAAGTATGCTTTTACTGACAGGTCACAGATCTCCACAAAGTTGATGCACTTTCAGCATTGCTTTTATTCAATTGTATCAACAAGAACACTCACCAAAAGAGAAAAAATATTCTGCATAGCGGCGTTGGGGTTTGCGCATAAGATCTGTTTTTCTGCATCATATTTTTTGAGGACTTTTTCCTTTGGGTGGCGTTCTGGATCTCACATATTGTGTCTATGGGTGAATATTACCGATGACTGATGCGGTGATGCGGTGGGGTGGGGAGGAAACAATTGCATGACCTTGGTGATTTAGATGTCCTTTTTTTCTTTTCAATCTTTTCTAGCGATGAGCGGGAGTGAAACACAAGCGAGGGAGACCAAAATTGTATTATGCTACCGAGATGCCAATTCGATATCTCTGGTACGTGGAGGGAAAGTTGCAGGGAAGCAAGCCAATAAGGTGGCCAAGATAGCGTGTAGTAGATAATGCCTGAAGGGCGACAAATAAAAGTGAGATGTATTATGGATATGTTTCTCACGGTGCTTGTATTTTGTTTGCTATCGTGATGTGATTGATGTCTTGCTCTTTCTTAGGTGTGCTGTTGATATTTTGGGAGGCTTCGCTTGTGGTTGATGTTGTGGGTACATTGGCATTGCTACTAGATGGCTTTGCATGATCTATCTGATGATCTCTACTCCGAGGACAGATGATAGAATTAAATAATCCGCGTATTCACAGAACTACCCAACTAATCAACGCCGCTTATGGGTTATTCGACTACTTGGCGAGTTACTCTAAGTTGAACAGCGATTTTGACAAGTCAAGTTAAGTTGAGTGAGTAGGTGCTACTACTCAACTTAACTACTTTAGATTGTCATATTAAGGCGTTATGTATCTTTAATGGTCCCTTTGAGGATTCTGAAATATTGATACATAAACCGTACAAGTATTTGTGTCTTTGGGATACTTGAGTTGCCTTTTCAAACCTCGGTGAAAAGATTTACGGGTAGGGATTGACAGGCGACTCCAAAATGTACGAGGTACGTAAGAGGGCGTGAGAACGCTAATACTGGTATGTAGGCGGTACTCTCGGTCGGCTTAAACGTTCACGTAAAAGCATAAACTTATGTCCTAGTTACTAGTACAGTACTCGGACCGGTAAAAGTATTTAAGGCGACGTGACGTATCTGAACTCCTCTTGTACGGATTCAACCGACAACTTTAGTACAAGACATCCACCACTGCCTCGGAGTCAATAACGGCAAAGGAAATTTTAAAAACACGAAATAAATCCTAGTTAACTCCCCAAAAGCGAATTAACCTTGATGTCGATGTTTGTAGCCTTTAAATGTGTCGTGGTTCTATTATAAGTAGTAATAACAGTGTATAGTAGGCCAAAATCGGCGGACGATCCTGTACATGAGGAGCTGAAGTTCGAGTATGGAACACATAAGTGCAAGCTGGTCAAATATACTCTTACTAAAGTGTAAATCAGTAGTATGCCTATTATGTCACCTGCTGTCGGAAGATTTTATTGGTCTATGGATTGAATATAGTTTGTCGATGCTTCAAAGTAAACATGGTACCCTCGGTAGCATTAATTCTGAACCGATAGCCAAGCTTATTTTTAGATAAGTACAGTAAGGTACCTAGGTATATAAGGAGACATCGCTCCCCTTCTTTTCACCACGCCTTGTACAACCCTTTTTTTATCGAAGTCTTTTGCGTCTTTGTGAAATAACTCCCATCCCTGCTACTTACAGAGAAATATTGTATCGATCAACTTTGTAATATGCAACTCAAAAATATCCTTCTCCTCGGTGCTTTGGTATCGAGTGCCTGTAGTCAGGGTACCGGTTACTACTACGCATTTTGCCAAGAAGAGGATGTAAGTCTCCACTTTCCCTTCTGTTTAGACAATGTGCGGTCCATAGACTTAGGGGGACCCGGGGTGCAAACCAGTAGGGATTCGATCAGATACCCTCTAGCTTAGGCTGTGACTTGATCTGTATATAAAATAATCAACTGTCCGATTGTTTCACTCCAACTAAACCACTACCGTTTTCTGACATACTACACAGGGTGACTCGAACAGTGTATATACTACGGCCGCATGCGACTACGCAAGGGCGGAAGACGACTGTTCTGATTGCCAAGTCGATGCTAATAAAGTGGTTCACTGCAACAGTGTTAAGAAGTTAATTCTTGCTGAAAAGGTAAATTATTTTCTGTCCTTTCATATAGATAAGGGGAAGCTGATTGCGCGACAAAATAGTGGGTTGGCCATTGTCGCAAAGCCGGTGCCACATCGGGAGGTGGAAATTGATGGGATTGATGATTCGGAATCCTGAAGAGTGGGTTGCTCTTCTTTTCAGGGGAGACCGAGAGATAGAAAGTGGAACAGTAAAGAAAGAAGGGCGTTTTAACCGTGCAGCTTTGACTTTTATAAGCTGGGTCTTTGAAGATGTGATGATTGCGATATATATTCTTTGGCATTTGCAAGTTCTCCCTGGAGTAATTTTGGTATAGTTCTGAGTAGATTTCGGCGTCTGTATTTTGCAAAACATATAAAGTGTTTTCATTTTGGCTTCAAAAAGGGGTGTAGGAATTCGCGACTGTAATATCGAAGCACTTTTTATCTCACAGTAACATCAGGAACCTAGTACGTACGGTGAGTAGCATGATTTATGCCCGAGGGTATTGGAGTATAGAAAATTCTTTTTATTTCTACATATAAAAGACACTTTTGATCTTTTAAGCTATCGGTGTGCCCTGTAAAGGCAAGCCTAAAGCTAACAACGACCAAGTCCGGACATTTCAATCTTCCTAACTTGGGCACTAATTTGAGTCAGTACTGTAATATTTACATATAGGAAAACCGGGATTGATAGAGGGATTATACATACACAGAATGCAACCCCCCCTTTTGAGTGTGGACCAAGTCTGACACAATCGTCTCCAGTGAGACTTTCTCACCTTCCTTAGTACACTATAAACAAGAAAGGAAACAAATTGGTATACTGAATGAATTTTGTACTGATCATTTGTAAACATGGGTTTACAGTAGTTTAGCGACGTACAATTCAACCAAATCTCTTTTGAGGATCTTTGCATTCAATTACCTCTCCCTTACCCTCGCATACAGACTGTGCTGTAACCGATACGAGCAAGAGGGTGAATGGGAGGAATGCAGCAAAACACTGCATGATTCTAATAATCGAGGAATCTTTTTTGTGGATAGAGGTGATGAAAGTGATGATAGTAATAATAAAGATGAATTATAATTGATAAAAATTACGGAGTCATGAGCAATATATAGTTGTGGGAAGGGTGGAAGTGACAACTGATTATATAATCGAGATGTAGGGGTCTGTTAAAGGACATGTTGCGCTGAACTTGGCTGTTACAATTACCTACCTCGCAAATGCCAAATAAGGATTTGATATGGAGTTCATAAGTTGAAGAGAGTGGACTGCTTGGACAATCCACCCCAAATTCCGAACTGATATAGGTGGACCAAATATTTTGCTTATTTTATGTGAGTTATACAAGTTTGGCCAATTCTTATGCATAAAACGATAGGAACCCTTAGCAACAACACAAAACTTGCACAAAATCATAATAAGCCTGTTTATCATATCCATCCATATTAATTTCTGATTTAAGGCGGATTATCCGAGCTATCCGCCCACTTTATCGTAGAGCTTCGGGGTTACTTGTATAATTTACATACACGCGTGATTACAAGGACAATTCGGCTCAGGCTATAATGCTTTTTGATCCCATGCCGCCGCCCTCGGTGACTCGGCGTTTCTCTTTTAGTAGTGTTTTAGGTATGAAAAGGAAAAGCGTATTCACCTCAAGGCACATCTACCCTTACTGTCGCTATATCCTCACTGTCGCATCCTCACTGTCTTATCCTAATCGCCCTGACGGGTTAGAGTTAGTGGAATATGAACCGCCTTACTATCGCGTCGCCCCCTTTTTTTTAAAAATACTAAACTTTTTATATATATTTCACAAATAAGCCTCGAGGTGCCTATCAATATCGCCCATTGCTATACGGCTTTGAAGTGAAATGGTCCCCCAGCTAATCCACAGTAGGTAGCCAGGTACTTGTAAAGTTGGTTCTTGTTAATACGAAGTAAAACAATTCAATTATCCTATGGCCGTATCGAGCCGTACACCTCGTTTATTATCCTTGCCGTCATATATCCTATTTGCGAATACCCTCACAGTCGCTATGATGTCGTAGTTACACACTGATTAATATAGTAAGGCTCTCCTTTCGACCACTCTAGGACACTTAATATCTATATAGTTTAGTAGAGACTATGATTTCGAATAAAATATCTTTAATTTGTAAAATACTAAAAGGAATAAGTATATAATATTCGGCGACGGCAAGGTAGCGATAACGACGATCGTAGTATATTACGAAGTACTTCGCACTAACCTGGGGCGGCTTTACGGGTACCTAGTAACCCACCGTAATTTGGTAAGGGTCCTGGTTACTTCAAAGCCGCGTAGCAAAATGTCAAAGCCGTATAGCAATGGGCTAAATATCGACGTCGTCGACACCTGCAGTAAAGCACGGGTGGACCCTCTTCCTATATTCGGCTAGCTAGTCAAGAAGTATCATAGCGAAATAAAAAAGCATTATAGCCTGAGCTGAAATCTCCTGTGAAGAAAATAGGCAAGAAGTTTTGTGTTTGATTTGGAAGATGCTTCCAAGAAGGAGAATATTAATTCTAGAAGTACGGTTTACTTACCCCCCCTCCTTCCCCCCTTTATAGAAAGGCTATTTCGTGCAAAGTGGGTACGTGTGGGGGATAGACCAGCTAGTTAATAATATTATTAATAACGTTCGGCACATAGAACTATATTCTATAAAATTCTAGGTAGAATACTCTATATAGAATACTTCTAGAGCACCTTTAAAATGGAATGGAATCCTTCCATTGATTAGTGTCTAGAATTCTAGGAGTTCCATAGAATTCCAGAGGTTTTTTCTAACTAATTAAAACGTAAGGTTTAGGGGAAGTCATCGTAGTTTTGAGTAAATAAGATAGAGTAAATAGGATTACTAGTGCCTACTCGAGTAATAGTCAAGTTTACTTCGCAATTAACTACAGAAGGATTCGGATTAGAGACTCTCCATATTACTCCTTATAAACCAAAGTAGTTTATAGGGGGGCTTTATATAATATTTCCTAGATGCCCTACTAGTCTAAGGCAAAATGCGAGCTTCCTATTAGCCTACTAGAGCGGTAGGACTTTTCTCCGGGTTATGTGATAAATTCTAGCTAGAAATTCTAGAAATTCTATGGAATATATACCTCTAGAATAGAATACTTCTAGTCAAATCCTAAAAGGAATGGAATTATTCTAGAGGGGGGGTCTGGAATAGAAAGGAATTCTAGATGCCGAACGTTAATTATTAAGTTAGCTTCATTTTAATTAGTAAAAATAGATTTTGCTAGGACTATAAAATGGCTCCACTAGAGAGAAGTTGATTTGAAATGTG